GCTGCGCACGATTGGACACTGCCATACGCCGCGGCCTGATCGGCGATCGCGGCCGCGAGCCGCTAAGCTGCGAGCCGCGTACGGCGCGCGGCGGCCGCCGGCACGACGGTCCCCGTGCTCACCCAGTGAGGTCGAGGCAGTGGGCATACTCTTTGAACTCGTGGGCCGCCTGGGCCTTGGCTTCGGCCAGCCTGGGCGAGCCAGGGGGAGGCGACGAGGGCGGGCCTCAGCTGCGGGCGCGAAAATGCGACGCGCGCCCGCCCGCGCGCTCGCAAGGGCCCCACCAAGGCTCCGCGTCCGCCGAGAGCACGCGCAGGATGGCCCCTCGTGGAGATGCGGACCGGCAGGGTCGTGTCGATGCATATGACCCAAGGGCTGCAGCACGGCACCTGCACTGACGCCGCCCCGCAGCGGAGTGCAACTCACAGGGCGTTGGCGCAGCTGTTCAGGGCTTTGTACTGCTCCGCGCATTTGCTGCTCTTGCTCTCGCTGTCCATGCATTCGTCAAACGCCGCCCGCTCGTCCTTGCAGCGCGTGAAGAGGTGGTACGCGAGCGCCTGCAGATCAGAAGTCTTTGGGGTTGCCATGCTCGCAAGAGTATACAAATTCTCTGCTACTTCAAGAGTTTGCGGGGCTGGCCGGCTTGCAGTGGTACGTAGGAGCCGTGCACGCTGAAGAGATCTCTGTGCAAAAGAGCGGGCAACACAATGACATATAATGCAACAGTACTGCCAACCTTGTCACGATGTGAGCCAGCCTCCGAGGGTGCAAGGGAGGCGAGGGGGTTGTCGGAGAATGTCGTGGCCTGGTGAGGTCGTGCCTGACCGCAAATGCGGAGTGTTGCTGAGCCATCAAGATCACAATTGAATGAAGGTTGAAATTTTCCGCGTGATACGATAGGCACGGCTCACCCGGTTTGACGCATAGAGAGCGGGCGCCTACGTCACAAAGGCACGCACTTGTGTATGCCTGCCTGCCGGCGCCCAGCACTGCAGGTCAGCAAGGCAATGCAAGAAGCAGCTGGCGCAGTAGGGTGTGGCCGGCACAGAGCACCGAGGCACGCGCAGCTGGCTTGGGCTTGACGCGGGTGATTAGCAAACGACGTCGGCGCGCCCGCAACGCTGCGACTGCACTAGATTCAACATGTGCAACAGAAACCTTACTCATTTCAGCCACGATCGCCTGGTCTCCGAAGGAATGGAACGGCCCCCGACACTCGGATGCCTCGCTACGCACAGTGACAGTGTGCGCCTGCCCACTGCAAAGAACGGCCAACTTCGAAAAAGCGAGCTAGCCAGACAGGGCTGTAGCTGCGCCTGGCCAAAACCCCTGCAGCTATACATTCACAACACGCTACCATTGATGGTAGCGTGTTGTGGCGTCTACAGGTTGACCAGAAGGGCTGACCGTCAAAGTGCTGATGGGTGCCGCAGCGCGGCCAGGCAATACACAGGGAACGGAGGTGTAGTAAATGGCAGGCTTGGTCCGCATGTAGGAAAGCATTGCTGTGCCACAAAGGGCGGGACCAACCCCTCGCACGACAGCTGGACGCGTGTCACGCGTCACACTGAGGCGTTGAGATTCACCCAGTTGCAGCATCATCCGCATGCATAGGTTTCCAGAGGTGAAGCAACAAAGCTTGATGTAAACATCATTCTTTCCAGCCGTTGAGGCATAGGGCAGGCAAGGCAGTGCCACAAGCTTGGGCTCAGCTGGAGAGGGCCTCCTTGAGGGTGTCGAAAAAGATGTTGGGCACAGCCATGGGCAGCCAACTGGACAAGTGAGCGAGGACAAGCAGCCGCTCGCATGCAGCCGGCATTGTGGATTGGCCTCGTATTCAAAAGCAAAGAAGCCCCTGCGCGGATTCGCAGGGCTTTGAGCGCAGGGCTCTTGTTGTATTGCATGTGGGCTATGGCGCGCGTCTTGGGAGTCCATGACCTGGGGGGATTCCAAAACTGTGGTGGCGGAAAAAGCGACTCATTGCAGGCGGTCTTGCACTCTAGCAGACTCCGTTGACGCAGCGCTTGGCCGCCTTGCGCTTGGCGGCCTCGGCCGCGGGGTTGAAGCAGCTCGCGCCGTTGCAGATCTCAAACTTGGCCAGGAGGAACGCGGTGTTAGGATTGACGTGGATGCCGGCCAGGACGGGCGAGTAGCCCTTACTGAAGTCTGCACTGCAGCCCTTGAGGCCCGATAAGACGGTCGAGTCGCTGTACCACTGCCCCTTCGCCGCCGGGCAGCCGCCGCCGTCGCTGCAGGCGTCGCACTTCCAGCAGCGCCCCTCCTTGGCCCGCGTCGCGCGCACGGCCTCGGGCTCGGGCCCGGCCGGCAGCTCGAGCTGGCAGCGCACGATAGGGGTGGACTTGACGTCTGGGGTGCCGGGTGCGAGGCTGGCGTACGCGCACTCCTTGCCGCCGCCGGCCGGCGCGGCCGAGTCGTCGAACTTGGTGTAGTTAAAAACGCTGCGGACGACGGCGTCACCCTTGCAGGCCAATGAGACGAGGCTGCTTGCGTACTGGTCATAGCTGCGGGCACGGGCGCGGGCGCGGGGCGGGGTAGATGAGGCGGCGTTGTAATCAAGTACGCACTGGTGCGCGATGATATGTGTGCGTTTAGTATAAGGGCGGCCAGACAGAGGGGAGCGGGCGTCAGCACGCAGCGCCAAGGCACTGGGCCTGCGCCGGAGCGCCCGCCCGCTGAAAGGGCGCGGCACGATCGTGGGTAGGCTTGCATGCAGGAATGGGCCGCGCGGTTCATGCCAGGTGTGCCCAGCCGCCGCCGCTGGCGCAGCGGCCGGCGGCTCGTGCATGTGCCCGTGCATGTGCGCTGACGACCTGATGTGGCCGGTGACGACCTTTGGCAGGGTCGACGGCTCCGGCAGGGCCGCGAAGACGGTGCCGCACAGCGGGCAGGAGTTTGCCGTGGTGGCCTTCGCCTCGTCAGCGCCCATCAAGCCGTTGTACGCGCAGCTGAGCTTCCTGAAGGCGGGGCTGAGGCAGAACGCCCGGGCGGCCGCTGCGTCCTTCTGCGCCGAGCCTTGGGCGTGTGCTGCGGTTGGAGAGGGGATTGCGGTGCTTGGGCGTGTGATGATCGGCCGCGGGGATGTTGCCTGTGACCTGGCAGCCTCCGAAAGTGCGGGCTGCTTGCGCCCACGAGGTTGGCCTGCTCACCTGACGGCATGCAGGATGCGCCGACGGCCAGCACGGCGCACAACATCGCCAGTCGTGTGCTCATGGTGGAGAGGTCTGCTCGTGCTGAGCACTAAGAACAACTGTGGCGGCACAGTGGAGTGTCACGCAGGTCGACTCAGAGACTCAGAGGTTGTCAAAGCGATTTGGCTTGCGTTGCTTCGACAAAGACGATCGCCGTCAATGATTTCTGCATATGATAGCTTGTGAAGGTAATAAGTAGCTCACTCAGCCCCTTGAGCTGGCCTGGCCCCTGCCGGGACACTGCCAGGTAGCTCGACTCAGGTTGGGGTGTGTGCGCTGCTGGCCACTGCCGGCATGTGACATATGGCACTCCGCTGTTGTATAGGGATCCCGAACTTGATCACAAGACATTACGTGTGAGGTTGGCCGGCGCACTCACATCGTGTCGAGCGACGCACTCATGAGTCAAGGCGAGGCCATCAAAGTTCAGACTAGACCGGGGGTGACACGCTTCTCGTGTGGTTGGTTCGGGGCTGCAAGGAGGGCGCTGCAGGAGCGTAGCTTAATAAAGGCCGGCATTCCAAAGAATTCAGTCAACATCGGGCGCTTTGGCCACGGTCGGCATCGAGCGCGCTATGCCACGCATAAACAGCGTGGCATCACAGGCAACCGAGGGAGGCTTGGGTGTGCCGGCATACGGGGCCTTTGCGCAAGGGCGCATGCAGGACCTGCTGCACCCCTTACCGTAAGGCATACTGGCAGCTGCATGCGGGGCGCGACTGAGGGGCAGCTCCAGCCCCTCAGCCCCGCCTGGGGCTGTTACTGCAGATATCAGCATGAGCGGGCCTGTCCCGCAGGCAGGGCGGGTTTTGGGCCCGACACACGGTATCTTGAACACACCAAGTGCTCCTGCGCTGCTCACGACAAGGGCGTGCTTTTCTGGTTATGGGCGCAGGTGCGTTTGACAAGGGCAAGGTATGCAACCCATCAACAGTGTCCTGCCTGCAGCTCGGACCGCTGCGTGAGGGGCACCACTGGATGCCAGAAACAGCCCTGCGCTATCCAGGCAACAAGTTTCTTGAGTTTTTGGGGACGTACTGAATCAACAGATAATTGAAGAACTTCTTCCAGACAGGTGGAGGTTGGTTACGAGAGGGAGCGCGGTTGTGTGGGGGAGGTTGCACGGCGCACACATAACAGGGGGGTGCTCCAGCTCGAACGAAGGAATTACTAATCAGAACAAACTCTAGGCACGGCCGATAGGCAATTAGGGGTACAAGCTGCAGGCATTGTTTTGCATCAGCTTTGCGAGTCGCGAGCTGTGTTGGACAGGATGAGTCGCAAATGACCCTAGCGGCGCGCGGACAGGCGGGGGCTGTATGGGAATGTGCTGCTGTCGTCGTGCATTGGCGCAAGGGTGTTTGAAAAATGCCCCATGGGCCCCATGCTTGGTTATTGGATCAAACCAGCCGTGGAAGTGCACAAATAAAGCCGAGCGCCGATTGTGCTGGGCGAGTGCGTAGACGACTGTATGTGCCCTTTGCTGTGCCCTTTGCCAGTTAGACAGATACCTGGTCCTACGATAATCACAGGATATGGTAACACCCAGACGGCAGCCGCAACAACTCTTTGGCTTGTGTCACCCTGGCGGCCGCGTCACCTGTCCTGGGTGCGCCGCTTCGCTCGTCCAACCCAACACAACCGGCTCGACTCTGGCGCGTACCTGCGGGAATTTGATTGTTTTGCCATACACCGAACCTGCACACGGAGCTTAAGAACACACCAAAGCGACGATCTTGGCGCTACTCCTTCCCAACCACCGCCCGCAAAACTTGCGGGGACGCACAGCCAATCCCGTGGTTGGCTTCACGCTTACAAGGCCTTTCAACTCGAGCGCATGCCATCTGACCGGCCCTGCGCCTGTAGTGACCCACAACGCCTGCATCATGGTGCAGTACGGCCGGCCGCGGGTGCTGGCGTCCACCAACTCAAAATTTGAGGTCCCACGCCACACCATGCCGAGCAGGCCGGGTGAGCCGGCTTGGGGCGTGCCCCGACAGCGAGTCGACCGGGATGAAAAGGCTTGGCAGGCAGAAGGGGCCTGCCACACATCAGTGAGCTGCGTGAGAGTGTCAGAAATGCTTTAAGCTGAAGTGGAGGTGGGGCCACACGGCCGTTGCCAGGGGGGAACCATGAGCAGTCCTGCGCAGCAGCGACACAGGTGTTGACCAGAAGCGCCTCGCGATTTCGCGCCAACGCCCATGTGATCACCGCTGCAGCCCGCACCATAATGCTCAAGGCAGTCAAAGCCGCTGGCGCAGAACAGCCGGCGTCCCCTGTGCCCGTGCGCTCCGTGCGAGCTGCTGCGGCGCCTGTCGCAGCAGCTGTCACTTCACCCGCCGCCGCCGCCGATTCCTCGGCACCCGGCCCCGTGCCGGCACGAGCCCCGGTGCCGCCCGCCCCCGCGGCCCCCGCCGCCGCGCCGGAGCGCTCCCCGCCCGGGTCGGCAGCCGCCGCCGCCGCGGCCGCCACCGCGCCGCACGGCGAAGAGGGCACAGGCGCCGCGGGGGTCGGCGAGGCGACAGGACCCGGCAGCGGCGCGGCGATCACGCGCTTTGATGCAAACAAGACGTCTGTCACGTTTTGGCTGAGGTTCCGGGTCTACTATGGGCAGTCGATCCGTGTTATTGGCGGCAACAAGGCGCTCGGTAAGGACCCGCTTCGTGCCGTTCCCGCCTGCAAGTGCATGCCTGCCTGCAGCCCCAGCGGGTATCCCCGTCCAGCCCACCCCTGCTGCGTGGCGCGGGCACTTATGCATGGCCCCGCAAGGCGCTGCTGTCTTCCTGCACTCCTGCCTGCGCTCGTGCCCGCGGCGCAACGGAGGAGCGTGGGGCGCGGCGCCCAGCTCGGGGCTGAAGGCGCCCACCCAGCAGCAAGCTGAAGCTTGCATCTGACGCTTTACACCCGCACCCCGGGCCCCATGCCTTGGACCCACCAACCACACACACACACACACACACACACACAAACACACACACACACACACACACACACACACACACACACATACACACACACGTGTGAACACACACGCACGCCATCGCCGTCTCACCGCTGACTTGACAACCTTCAAAACAAGCAGGTGCCTGGGACCTCTCAAAGGCGCCTGTTATGACCTGGTCCGAGGGTGATCTCTGGAACGTGACCCTTGACCTCGATGCGGGTGAGGCCGGCAATGCTCTTGACATAAGCATGTACACAGTTGGCAACAAGGACCCCAACCCACACAAACCGTGCGTCCTATCAGGGATGGTGCCCCGTGTGCACCCCTCGCCTTGCGCCACACCTCCCACGCCTCGCGGCTCTGACCTCGTGCTGGGGCGCAGTGGTCATCCCTCCCAACCCGCCAGCTGACCGCCCAACTGGTCGCGTCAACTGGTCGCACGCTGCCTTTTTGTCGGTTGTGGTCATCGGTTTGCGACCAAGCCGCCGCTTTTCCAGAGCACAATCGATGCGAGCCGCCACGTCTTCACACAGTATCACCACCTCCAACCAAAGCCGCGTTCTCCCAACTCGATCAACTCCCATCAACTCAGGCATGGTGTACGAGTACAAGTATGTCGTGGTGAACTACGACGGCCACTCAGCTGCCGCGTGGCAGCAGGGCAGCAACGCCGTAATCGGCCTCCAGGCAAGCCACCAGAGGGCAGCAATCTCATGAACGTGCACTGCGCGAGGGCTGCATGACGGCGGCAGCTGGCCACGCACACCCCCGCCGTTCCGCGTGCACTCTCCCACCCTTGAGGACATTGGGTGTTCATGCATGGGCCAAACCAGCGCATGCGTGATGGCAGCTTCGGGCAAGTGGCAGGATGATATTCACTGCTGCGCTCGCAGGCTGCCCAGACAAGTCCCCTTCTCCTGGGGTGCCGGATCCCAATTGCCCGCCCGGCCATCGGAGCCCTTGCCCGCGTGCGCCTCCCATTCGTGCACAGCCCGACCCGTGTGCACTCACGAGAACCACTCCCGCGGCGAACGCACCCTGTCGCGCCGGCGCCGCGCGCAGTGGGGCGACAAGCGGGTCGAGGTATTTGACAATTGGGCCAACGGTCCCGGCGCGGTGGTCGTGACAAACGGCGTGGAGGCGACCCGCGAGAGGAAGCTGCTCGCGTGGGCGGGTGACTACGTGGCGCAGCGGTTCGAGCTGGCGCGCGCCAAGGCGGAGCTGTCGCAGGTGAGCGCGGTTGGCGCGGCGGGCGCGGTTAGCGCGGCCGGCGCGCCGCGCAAGGGGACCGGCGGCAATGCAGTGTCGGCGGCAGGGATCAAACCCAGTTGGCGCCCCTGAGCGTGGCTGAGCAGCACGCCGACAACATCCACCTTAGCTGGTCGCCACGTACAAGCATGCTTCCTTGTTGGAATGGTGTGAGACGCCGCATAGAGCTGCGCCCGAAAGCCGTCTCCCGCTGGAGAAGCCGCAGCCAGCTGACGCCAGCCACTCTCTCAGAAGCAAGTGCTCCCAGTCGGGCTAGGGCCTGCATTTGCCCCCCAAAAGCCAGGCCACCAGCAGCCAGCCCGCCGTCGCTGCGTTTCGACCTGGCC